AAGATTATCATCACAATGAAAATAAGATTATTATCACAATGCATAATCTCTTAATTAGATTATTATCGCAATGGCACAATATCGACTTTCTACTATGTAACCGAAAATAAGATTATTATCACATTGGCACAATGTAGACTTTCTACATTTTTGGTCTTGTGGTTTGCAAAAAGAACACTTTTGGTCCTAGTATTTTGATTTAGTCATGGATGGTTCCTAATTATTGTTTGGTAACACATTTAGTCCCAGGCTCTCTTACCTTCATTTAAACATGGTTAGTAGCAACGTAAAAGACTAAAAAATTCTATACGTTTTTTATGAATGTATATATGAACGTTTTTTCATAAAAGAGTAAGTAAAAATATATTATTTCATAACTGGAGTAATCTAAACGGAAATTGTAATAGACTCATATACCAACACGTTGCATATAAATATCATTAAAATCCGAGATCGTATGAAGAAGTTACGATGTTCAGAACACAAGACTTATGTCAAACCACAAGATCTAAGCAGCCGAGGCAGCGGTGACCAATGGTCATAAGCATCAACAGTTCCGAACACTTTTTAAATGGTTATCCCATATAGGATGCCGGGAGAAAAAACCTAAAAAAACAGGTATTAAGTATTGAATATATACAAAACAATAATAACTTATTTTGCAACAAACAAATAATAAAGACTAAATGTGAAAAAAAGTATTAAGGCCTAAATGTGTATAAAGTGATAAATATATTACTGTATTAAGTCATTTTTTCCGGCTTCTTTGGAGTAGCTGGTCATAAGAACTGAATGTGTACAGTTTAACAAGTTGAAGGGAAAAATATGAACGAAAAAAACTCAATAACCAAATATATACAAATCAAAAAAATATATTACCCCTTTAATACAAAAAGTAACATAGACATTTTTTGATAATAAACTAACATACTTGTCAAATGCATTTATCACATTTCACGATTGTTTCAAATATTAAAAATGTTGAATTCCATCTAGTTTAAACAAGACAAAGTTTTTGTTCACATTTAATTTCCACTCGAGTAATACATCGTGAAAGCTTTTATACCTAAAAGGTGATGTATTGACAATTTCCTGAAATTACCCTTCCATACAAGATGAGGTGTAGGAATGATCATTTCTTGGGCAATAAGGAATTCTAAGAAGATGCTTAGAGTTTAAGCAAACCGGATTACTTAGGGATCAAGTGGTTTTTTATTTATGTGAAGTTGTAATCAAGTAGGTTTCTAGTTAGCCATTTATATATACTTCCATATAATCAAGTAGGGTCGTATCAAAAAGAGAGAGATACAAAGGGTTGATTGTAACAAAGTTTTGAGTCACTTTCTTTGTTATAATAAGAGTATACTTGTATTTTTCGTGTTTATATTTTCATATTTGACCAATTACTTTCAACATGATAATCATACGCACTTCACAATGTTTTTCGAATTCTAGAAATATAATCATATCGCTTTTCTAAACCATCTCTAACTACAACATTGGTAATATGTACAGAACGTCGCAAGTGGATATATATACAATCCAATATATCATCAGTTCCCTTAAACATCTTCTTCAAAAATCTAAAAGCACCATCGTACACAAGTTTCCTATGGTCTCATCCCCATGATAGCCTATCAGACAAATATTAACTATCTTCTTTCGTATTTATACAAAGAAATTTTTGGCAATTTCTAGAAATTACATGCATTATAGGTGTGGTGATGGTGTTTCAATTTATGTTATTATAAGTTAAGGTTAGAAATCAAATTGCAGGAAATGAATCACCTCTAGTTTCATTTTAGGCTTTGATATCAACTCTAGTTCGGAATTAAGTGAAATCGAGCCTTGTCATTTATGAGAAGAAATACAATTGAAGTGTCCAACAATGTAGTAGGGTTCGAAGAATCCTACTACTGTGCCAATGTCATTGCTGATTTAAGGATTGTTTTTCCATATATCAAGAAAATGCCAAAACCCAAGAAAATTTATTAAAATATCAAAAAACGTGTTTTACCACTAACATTTGGTCCTCGGCTCAGAATTATAATTATATGTGTATTATTGAAAATTGAATTTCCATTGATTGAGTTTTACGAAAGAATATAGTCAGTATTTGTTTGATAGGCTATCATGGGGTTGAGATCATAGGAAACTTGTGTATGATGGGTGTTAGGGCCAAGATCCTCAAATCTTATTCAGGATCCCGAATCTGGAAGATATCTGAGAATCCCTAAACATATTCCAGGATCCTGAATATGATTATTATTCCTTAAATATAATTTAACGACTATATGTCTTACTTATTTCTCACATGTGCAGAAATAGTCAACAAAAGACTCATTCTCAACGAAGAAAAGTTTTAATCAGACAGAAGACCGAGAATACCAAGTCAAACCAATGTGTTCATATTTATTCGAGAGGATCCCGGAAATACTGGACTTATGGTTACTTAGACTAGACTATAGATACACATGTAAAATGCACACTACACACAACTAGACTGACTGCAATACTTGTACTCGTTTACTTACTTCTATATCTTTAATTCACATTTCAATAATACAATTAAACAAAGCAGGTGATCATTATCATCTCCTAAGGTTTTGTGCCTGAGATCCTAGCAAGGACCAAGGGCTTTCCTTGCAAACCACTTGTGCAACATTGTTTTAATTTCACTAATCACTTCAACTACAACACCACAGCCTCTCATTCACTTTGGTTAATATTCGTTTGATTGATTTTTGACCAAAACAATTTGGCGCCCACCGTGGGGCCGTGGTGTTTATAACCCTCGAAAATCATGTCTACACAACCGACCCTTTCTTCTTCCACAGTTCCAGTGAGAACAAAGATATGATGCGCAAGGACAAGGTTCAAAAAATCAAACCTAGAGTTAATGCTTAAGATCAATGTCTGCTTATAATTATGTGTTCCAGTCAAGTCTGGCAAGACCAGTCGAGACTGAAGATAGAAATCAACGAAGTACTTCAAGTATTAAATATAGAACTATGAGTATAATCAAGGTAAAGACAATAAATGAACGAGTAGAATGTTTTGAAAAAGTTTGATATGAGAGAAAATATGAAAGAGAGTTAATGTGAAAAAAATGCTATCTTTGGAAGAACAATTCGTAATATTCTTGTCATTTAACCACTCCTTAAATAGTCAAGGAGGAACATCGTACAAACTGTTTGACATACAAAGCACCGGATAATAGTACTACTTCTAACATACTGATTATCCAAATAAACAAAAAGACTTGGTCCTATGAAAAGTTACATCAAACTAAAGACAAGAATAATTAATGCACAGACTGACACATGATCTCGGAACATTTCTTCATCTCGGCACATACTCCACTCCGGACTCTACCATCATCTCGTACCATAACCATTTCGGACTCAAGCCTGACTTCGGATCTTTAAGTGTTAGAGATTGCTAGAGGTTCACTTTCAGGTTCCAACAATCTCCCCCTAAGTGAACTTAGCAATCCAGTCAGCTTAGTTTGATTCTTCCTTGATAAACACATATGCCCGGTACAACCAATCTCTGACTTCGATGTACCGTTGCAGCTGACTTATAAACTTTGCCTTCACATGCTCTGGTGTGTCGGACTTTGATGCACGATTGATGAACTTCTGAAGGGACTTGGTGGGAACCAGATGCTTGTCAAGGACTCGGAAGAAGTCCTTCTTGTTTGTTTTCCTTTGAAGATACACAAACCCTAACACTGGTTCGTCAATTGGCCCCTCTGCCAAAATCTCAGCTTCTGGTAGCTTGAAGTCAATCTTTGCTAGATATTTTTCGGTTCCGAACAAGTGGGCCAATTCAAAGTCGCACCGGCAAAATTCAGCGACATAATCTTTGAGGAAACTCAAAGCAGCATGGTAAGCTCCTATGCTAAGATCGTCGACTTGGTGGCTTCTGAAATGTGTAGCTATCGTCAGGATGTCATTAGGATTGATTGTTGGGAAATCGACGTCGGTGATGGTTTTTTGATTGTGTTTGTTCCGAAAGATGTGGTATCAGAACAACACACAGTTCAATTCGAATTTGGTTAAGATTTTCCTTCCGAACCTAGAAATCTTGGTGATCCTTTTCCGAGACCATACTTCTTTTTGGGGAAGTGCATTCTTGGAATAAAAGGTCTTCAATCATTCACGTTCAGTTCTGATGATCATTTGTGGATCATCTTCCGAGTGGAGAGGAGCGAACTTAGTGTAGAATATGTTGTATGGAGAAAGAGAGGCAGATCAATCTGGTCCGAATCTTGGTTGGGAAGATCATAGTACATAAATGGCACTATGTACAAATCATGTATAATCCCTTCTAGGCAAAGAGGGGAAAGCCCTAGCATCGAATGAGGATCATCTTTGAAGGCTTGGATCCAGATGCTTTCCTCAAGAGCTTGATTTATTTCTTCCTGGGACAAACCACTTCTCTCTTTCATGGGAGTTCCGGAGTAGGGAAATTCCGAGATGGGCTTCTTTCCCTTGTCTTGCTGTTTGTTGAGGACCGAGAGTATGTGTTGCATGTTCTCATCTACGGCGAATTTCGGAGGAGAGGAAGGCATGGGCTCTTCCGGAATATCATCAGGCTTCCGAAGAGGAGAGCCTTCATCGATAGGAGCAATCTTGGGCGAAGGAATCGGAGTCAACATCGATGTGGTGGCTCGGAAGGCGTCAACCGTTAGTTTCGTTTTAGCCTTAGCCACTTCTCGGCTTCTTTGAAGTAAATCAGCCAGAAGCCATGAGACTGCTGACCATATTCGTTGCTCTTCCTCATAAAGCACTTTTGCTGGGAACTTCTTTGGAGCTGGAA